CCCCAAAACCCCAAAACCCCAAAACCCCTAGACGATAAATTCATACTGAAAATTATCCTTCATATTTTACTTAGAATAACTAGCAAATTTAGGTCCTTAATCTTTTGAATGTAGATGCCAGATTAATCTTCAGCTCAAGCTTGGAATTATGCATGTCAATTTGCTTTTTCTCGCTCTCCAATTTAGCAAGCTCGGTTTTAAGTGATTGCATATCACTAAGTAATTCTTCCTTAGAATTCTCATATTCAGCGCAATCTTTTTCTTGCTCCTCTATCTGCTCTGAAATCTGTTCTATAAGTCCCTATCAGACACATTGTCAACACCTCTCGACTTACTCTCAACTTGGGTTTGCTCGTTCTCTACTTCCCTAATCGCCTTCATGGTTGGTCCGCTTTCAGTCTGGCTTAAGCAGTTCAGTTCATTCTTCTTCTGGTCTAATTCGTGTATTGCTTTGTTAATGGTTTTGAGATCTTCTTCGTAATTGTTGATAATAAGTGAAAGAGGGTGCTTAGTGGAGGTTACCTTCTTGGCCTTACCAACCTTCTTCCACACCCTATCCAACTTCTGCTTCCAAATCCCAATCTGAGTCTTGACTTCCGCCAAGCTCCCCAGTTGTTCTCCATTCTCAGTTCAAATCTTGTACTTTGCCCTACACAAAAATTAAAATTCAGAAATTTTACTTGCCCACGAAAGATTTCAGTGGGCTTTTAGAAAATTTATGAAGACTCAAAGGAATTTCCGAGGATTCGTTCTTACTTTGTTACCTCTTGAAGAATAGCTTTAGACTTCTCAAGAGCATCAGTGACAGCTCTAATCTTGCACTTCAAACTTGACATCTTCGAAGCCGCAGATAGAGTCACAGGTGCTAATGAAGGCTTTGGCTCAAGAACAGGAGCTTCAAGTGATTTCAGGGCTATTAATTTAGAATTCAGCAGGTCAACTATTTCAGTATATTTCTGTCCTAGACAAGCAATAGTTGATGATTTTAGCTTTGATAGGTCAAGGTCTTTTGTGAGGTCTGAGAAAGGAACTGGCTGGGGCTTGGGCTCAGCTTCTTCTAAGGAGCCATCCTTAGGATATTGGTCTTTGAGATTTTTAGATTCAGAGGATTTGGCATTTGGAACTTCATTATTGGGAATATATAATTTGATAAAGGGATTATTGTTTGTATCGTTGGGAGGAGTGGGATTCTTGGTGTCATTATTTTGAAGGAAGGGATTATTGTTCTGAGCATTTGAGGGTGAAGTATTACTGAGAGTATCAGTTTTATGTTGAGCAATTTTGGCATTGGAATATTTTGGAGCTTCATCCTTAAATTCTTTATTTTCTAAACATAATAATTCCAGTAAGATATAATGCAAGACTTACCTCTTTCATTCACGAAAGGATTTCTATCCTTCAAAGAACCCTTGTTATCTCACTGATTTCCTTTTCCCACATCTTTATTATACTCCTTTTCCTTAAAATCCAATTCTAAACCCTTAAACCACCTCCAAACAATCCAAATCCCTCATCTAACTCAATTCTTACCTTTTTTCTCTAAATCAATCCTCCGACTTCCCAAACACCCATCTCCTCTAAAAGCTCATCACCAAATTTACCTTCTCTAATTTACTCTCTTCCATCCCTAAAATTCAGTCAACAAATATTTCAATTATCCCGTTCAAAATGGGGTTTTGGGGTTTTGGGGTTTTGGGG